GATATCGTACATTTAGACACTATAGGTGATTATTCCCCATCTTCCTAGTGACACACCAGACTTCTCTTTAACTACTGCCTCTCTAGTCAGTGGTAACAACGTGTATTACAGATTGAGATTACTGCAATGCAATCGGTATTTTTAAAGAGCATGCTGAGGTAGAAAGCTGGTCGACCATGGAACTATATCATGGAATTTCGACAATGGTACACAAAATTCCCAAATCATTCTGATCATCAACTTAGACAAAAATTTCAACAATTATTCTTGAGTGAGTGAGTGAGTTTAGTTTTACGCCGCACTCAGCAATATTCCAGCTATATGGCGGCGGTCTGTAAATAATCAAGTCTGGACCAGACAATCCAGTGATCAACAGCATGAGCATTGATCTGCGCAATTGGGAACCGATGACGTGTCAACCAAGTCAGCAAGCCTGACTACCCGATCCCATTAGTCTAGAACTGTTTACAAAGTTTGAACTTCATCTGCCTTCTGCCCTGGTTTTCTGTTGTTTAAACCCAAAGATTAGGACGACCCTCTGCAAATATCCGAGTCAGGATCTTCTAATCCAGTGGTTAAGAACATGAGCAACACGATGACATGCAATCAACCAAGCCACTGAGTCTGACCGTTTAACTGCCTCTCACGACATTCGCAGGTCGCTGGGAACCTGTACTTTTCCCAGAACCCGTAGGAGACAATGCAATTGGTAACATAAACACTGCAGTAAATGTCACTGTAATCTGTTGATGAATGTGAACACACAGTGATGTGATTACAGAAGTCGCGTACACCATCATCTGCTTATGTTACACATGGACCAGGACAACAACAGCCTTGTGTCAGACTGACTGGACTCGATCTAGATGAATTAGTTAGATTATCTGTTACTCTATAGGACAAGTACTCTGTCCTATCAAATCCAGCTTACATGTCAAGAAGATACACCCAGAATACTGAATGTAATAAACATGGACAACAGATGCTCAATTCAGTATCATGTATTAGATAAGAATGATAAATTATCAGATTTGTTGAGTCCATCAGTTCTCCAAGTCTACATTTATCAGGATGTATATACATATATGGATACTAAACTTGATAAATATGACTGTCCTAACGATTAATGCTTATCCAGGGATATAAAACCTGTCAAAATATCTAAGTTAATCAAACAATATGAAAAACATTCTTGATGCTGCCATTAATTAATTTGTTCTAAGAACTTCTGTTCCCATCTTCATGACTTACACAAAGTGTCCATATTATGGGATGGGCTATGTTGAGCTCCGGAAAAGTGCATATTTCGATAAAAACATTAAAATTGTTATAACCAGGCCATTTGGAATTAATAAGTCAATATATATTTTACAACCGTTTATGGAAAATCTGAACTTGAATTAAGAAGGGTCACAGTACTTGCCCCGGACACACCAGGGCTCTTATTCTCGAAACGTTCGTAGCCCTAAGAATTCTTAACTTTGATCATACCCAATGTGTTAAGAATGGGCTTAAGAAGTTCGTAGGGCTACGAACGCTTCGAGAATAGCTAGCCTGGTAACATGAACCACCATTACCCAATGATGAGCCATTTCTAAACCCTACAGTTACAACACTGTGCATATTTTGCAATGTAACTTCTTCAGCCTGCCTCCATTCTTAACAGTTTTATTTACTGATGAAATGCATGAACTCACTACGTGAACTATCATGAATAATTCACAAAAGCTCTTTGTCCCACTTATTGTAACTCAAGTAGTCAATTTAAGAGACATGTGACTCACATGGGCCAGCACATGAACAGGTGCAAATTAGAAATCACACAAACCTGAAGAAACATTTATTGTACAAGTACAATAATCTAGCACATAAAATAGGATTTGTCCATGTTCGTCCAAAATGAGTGACCATGATGTGTATTTGAGACAGCAGACGTTTATGCCCTTAATTGTCGGATACATTTCACCCCTGACTAGCTCCGATTGCTATACGACTCCCTGCCCAACACTCCCATAACACACAATCAATAACAGGATTAAAGCCCTGCACTGGTTCACCATTCATATTGGGCATTCAATATCCCCTTATTACTTGCTTGTCAAAGCTGACCCTCCATACAGGCCTCAAATCTTACCCGATCAGAGGTCAGGCTAGATGCAAAACATGCCAGTACATTTGGTAGGATGTTTACATGCAGCGTGAACAGGTTGTGGTTTACATTTGCTCTTGATGAGATTGTTGTGTTGGTTTTGACACCTGGTAGCATGCGCCTTCTACATTGTAGCATACTGTAGTCGTCTAGATTGTACTGAGTGCTAAGTGAGGTGAGGGGAAATTGGGTTTAACGTCGTGCTTGAGAATATTTCGCTCATATGACGATGTGCATGCGTGTGTATGTGTATGTGCGGCTGCTTGTACTAGCCCAGACTAAAGCTGGTTTTATAGTGCTAGCCCACTGAGATACCATGCCGCAGTGAAGCATGAATACCACACTCAGACACATTATACTGACTCCCGAGCCGACCAGTCCTTGTTGTACCCATTAATGCCGAGCGCCAGGCAGGGACCAACAAGTACCTAATTTTAACGTCTATTTGTATGACGCGGTCGGGGATCGAACCCGCGACCTTCCGCTCTCCGGGCGGATGCTCTAACCACTACACCACGGAGGTGTCACAGACATGGAACATGGACAGATTGTAATACACTGTTCACATCTAGCCTGAACAGACCGCAAAACAATGTTCACATCTAGACTGAACAGACAGCAAAACAATGTTCACATCTAGCCTGAACAAACGGCAAAACAATGTTCACATCTAGACTGAACAAACGGCAAAACAATGTTCACATCTAGTCTCAAGAGACTGTAATACAAAGTCCACATCTAGCCTTAGTCTTGCTACAAGACTGTACTGAATGCTAAGTCCATGGAAGTATAGTAATTCTATCATTTAAAGAGGCAAGTCTAGAAAAGCTGACAGTCTATGGATGCCAGTCTGTTATATATATTTTTAAGAAATTATCATGTAAACTTTGAATTATTACCTAAGAGACTTGTGCAAGTCTAATCTAGCCTCAACAGACTGCAATACAATGTTCCAATCTAGCCTCATCAGACTTTCATATAATGTTCACTTTATGAGAACATATCCTGTAAATATGCAGTCATAATAATCTGTTATTGGGTGTTGGTCACTCAATATGAAGTAACCCACACTCAAGTTACACAATCATCCATGCCAGCCTATGGTGGCCATGTTGGTTCACGTCTCAAGCCAACATGGGTGGCCAAGTGAAATGCCACCACAATTGGGCTTCAGATATCACACTTTTACGACACATGCTCGGCAACAGGGACATATTGATACAAAGTGTCCTGGACAGAGATTTTGGCATATTATGACCCCATAAAATGATAATGCTGGACAAGTGCCCAGTGTATGATTGCAGCACCTATCTGGGCTATCCACGCCACTGACTGACTGACATTCCAATCACCACTATCTGGTGGGAAAGGAAAACACTGACTTCACTGACAACCTTGGACTATCACAATACATCTCTTACATCAGGGTTCCAGTTGGCTAAATTCCTGTTGAAAACTACCATTCTTCATGCCAACAGGAACCTAAGTTATTACATCAAATGCATCGATATTTTCCTTGGCATGACAAAGACCTAGTTAAAAAATAACAGAAAAAACCCCAACAAAAATGAAAAGCATCAAGAAAACAAGACCTGTAGTCTTTAATAATTTCTACTCTAGACTTTCTTCAAGAACTCAAAGATATGTTGCCTTTTTATCAAATTAAGTCAGTTTGACCCTTAAACTGACTGACTGAGTTTAGTTTTACTCCGCTTTTAGCAATATTCCAGCAATATCACGGCGGGGAACACCAGAAATGGGCTTAATACATTGTGCCCATGTGAGGAATCGAACCCGGGTCTTCGGCGTGACGAGCGCGCTTTTAACCACTAGGCTACCCCACCGCCCCTTTGACCCTTAAACAAAAATATAAATATTTTCATTAACTGTCTGTCCTTTCTTTCATTTATTTCCTTTTATAATGAATAACTTTCATATCGTGCCTGAAAACATTTATCACATACAATTTGACACTTTCATCATCCAATCAATTGATTTCCTTTTGTATTTCTTCAAGAGTGTGTAAACAATGAATTTCTTCATAATTAATTCATAAGTTTGTCATGAGTACAGGAATGTCATTGATTGCCATCAATTGTAATTATAAGATATTGGTAGCTATTCTTCCTTGTCCGGATCTGTCGGGTAAATAATACCACGCCAGGCATCAGTGATTCTTGCAATGCAAATTCCATGGTAACAACTAGAACATCTTTGGGTCCAATATCAACATCACCAGTTTCAGGTCGATGTCTCAGACAATGTACAGAACAGAGCAGGGGAAATATCACTGATTTGACAAAACTTAGGATGTGGGATAAAGGGAAAGAGGACACACATATAGGAGCAATGCTACACTTGCACTGTCAGACATTTTCAAGAAGTGCTGAGTTGGCAAATACTTATTGACTTTTCACGATGGCTTGCATTTCTAATTGGCAATTCCATCCATAGAAATATACAGGGTGCCTGGGTTGGAAATGGCAGTTTGTTCCAGAAAAGTCTCAGTATGTTTGCCTTAACATGGCTCACAACACTACTTTGACTAGGTTTTAGTGTTATGATAAGGATTATTATTAGGTGAACTTTCTAGATCAAATATAATTTTACGAGTCTGAGCTTTCGAACAAGTGGCTGAAGTCACAGGCTAATAAATTTACATGTCTGCTAGTACAAAGCATATAAAAATACCAGCATTTTCAAAAATGAGGTGTTTCATAAAAATAGGATAAAGGTATGATTTTGATATGAAGCAAAGAGCATCCATGTCTCTTTGGAAGCAATGTTCTGTTTAATATAACCTGACCATGACATAACAAGAGACAAAACCTCCCCCAAAACAAGGACTCACCAGATAGTACGCTCGGATGTTCTTGATGAGCAAATCCCAGTTCAGCTGTCGGATAGAAGCGTCATCCTCCACTACCCTATGTAGATTCTGGTATGCAGGTCTGGGGTCACTGAAACACAAAATCATATCTCAAAATCGTATTTTATATGTTTGCTGTTTTGTCCAGCAATAATTAGCTTATATCACTTCGACCTCTACATAATGAAGTCGGGGCCAGACACATCAATGGTCGACTTCTTCGAGTTGTATTTGAAAAGTAGGTACCATTCGGTACAAGGATGTGCATCAAAACGTCGCACTCACAAAATGCTGTAATCCATAAAGTTTGTACATCAGTGGTTCATATTATAAGAAACATCCTCTACAATCAGGGAACCATCTGAGTCACGGTTTGGTCACCTCTTATAACCAACATTGGTCACATGCGACCTTTCTTATCCAGAATCCCTAAGTTGAGGCCATCAGGATAATAAATAATTCCATTACTATCATGGATGAAAGGGTATTATAATTTTATGCTTGTGATATGATACAACAATAACAATACATAAAATATGACACAGAACAGACTCGAACAAAAGCTTGAACAACTTCATTGGTCACTTTCTTGAAGGTGCCAAATGTATGAAACATCTTTCCTTATTGAGTGGTGTGTCAGTGTCATTCCAAATATACCCTGAAAAGCCCTGCATTTGTCTGTGGACCAGATACATATGCTGATAGTTACAACATTCCTTAAATGGTATCATGGAAAGATGATGATTCAGTCATCGTAACCACTGATCTACGTCCACAACCAACACAAGCTACTGGTGACCTGCCCAGGAATTTGTCAAGTTATTGGGCTTTCATGAAGGAATGGCAATTCTTTGTACTTAAACACAGCAAATTGTATAAAGCAGCTCTTGACTCATCGAGGATGAAAGCATTAACATGTTTACTGTCAAAACTCCAGTGCTCACAACCTGGTGAAACACACAGTCTTCACCATAAATATTAAAACTTTATTACATTATGTCAAGCTAAATTAAACCTGGATATTTACTACTGAAAGAAGGTAAAGAAAACCCCAATTTTTCACTGACTATTGTTACTACTGGCTTGTGGTTAGTGCAACACAGCTATCAAGGAACGTGTGTTCTTCATCATCTTTGCAATGATATACCTCTATGCTCAAGTCATGAACCATCTTGATTGTGGTAATAACTGGTATCGGATAATGATAAGTATTACTGTTCACTATACTGTGTCACCACACCTGACGGAACCCATGAGTTTTCCGTAGTGAACGTCAACCCGACTTGAATCGGGCGAGTGTCTACATCTGTTCCGCTCCACATTGTACAATCACATCGTGACACACGCTTCAAGTACTTACACCCCGATTACTCACTCCTAAAGTTACAGAACTATAATTTACCTGGTTATCTGTGCCCCTATACGCGGCACACACGAGACAACCTATCAATGCAAGCTTAGTAACCATGTTTCTACCCGGTGCGTGTAACAGAACCTCGCAGCCTGAACAAATCGCCATTTACTTGAAATCCAATACCTACGTCAGAGTTGCTTTATCAATGTCCATTTTGTTTTCACACCAAGTGGGCACTAGATATGCAAATAAAGAATTTCAAAGACTATATTGTTTACTGTGTTTCCATGGTACCATCACACATACACACATTCAAAGGTTAGTAACTGACCAAACCTTGTGCAGTATTGTGTAAACATGAGTGTAGAGGGGCATGAGTTATAAGAGCATTTCAGTGACATATTATGGTTGGAGGGTGCTTGTAGCTTGGTCCATTGTGTTAGTGTGTCTATAATGTTTATATCTTCATTCACGGCTCCTTGTTAGGAACTTCACACAACACAATGGTAAATCAATTCCTACACTTCGGGCTGAATTGTTTTACTGCTGCTTGACAAACACTATCATAAATCTGCACTTGAGGGAAGTTATGCAGGAAATAACTGTGTAGATTGTATATGAGTGAGTGAGTGAGAAGGTGAGAGTGAGTGAGTGAGTGAGTGAGGTTTTATACCAGTTGAAAAGTATTCCGGTTATACCAAGGTAGGTCAACTTAATGTGGTGACTGAGTAAGTTTCAATGAGTGAGTGATTGAGTGAGTTTAGTTTTACACTCATTTTAGCAATATTCCAGCAATATCACAGTAGGGGACACCAGAAATGGGCTTCACACATTGTACCCATGTGGCGAATCAAACTCGGGTCTTCTGCGTGACGAGCGAACGCTTTAACCACTATGCTACCCCACCGCCACTTCGGATGTTAATCACTTCTGTGAAACCAAAACTAAAACCAACTGATGAACTGGATTAAAAATGACACAGTTTCTACATTCACATCGAAAATCACATATCAGTTTTAAAATTTATGTTATTCTTTATCTTGGTGCTTATTGAAATACATGTTTACAGACATACAAAACCTGTTAGCTGCATTTGGAATGTGGCATGCTATGTTTATAATACTGTGTCACTGATGTCAGGAGGTCTCGCTGTGTACTAAAGCAATATGACTCTGCCACCAACCAGCATTAATTATAAACAAAGCAAGGTCACCATTTTCACACCCAATGGCCATAATGCCAACACCAGATTTATGGGTTAAAAACACATGCTACCTGCATCTGAACTTGCAGAGTGCTAAAAGAGATTTAACAATTCTCGAACATATTTCACATTTGATGGATTAATTTGTGCATACCCCTTTATTCCTGTCCTTCTAAACAGGAAAAGTTTGTCATTTGACAACGACAATTTAAACAGCCTTGGCCCTATTCCCTTAAGCTTTCTCAGCACTACGACAGCTATCTGTGTAGAAGTTCATGATGTAAGACAGGTGATAACACTGTAATGTCTATATTGAACAGGGTCTGCCTTAGTTGAAAGTAAGTATTGTCAGTGCTTTTATAGTCAATTCCAATCCTTCAGAAATTTGAGCCTAACAAATATACATACTACATATCACATGCGAAAACAGGACTCACAGGTCCCGAGAAACCACAACCATTCATTAACATGTTTCAAAACTTTAACAGTACACAACATTGATTCATCAGATTAAAACCGAAATTTAATCAACTGTTAATCCAAATGGTTTCAAGTAATGTTACATTCTACTCCTACTATCCTAAGAGAGAGAAAAGTAGTTCTGAGCATTATTTCCATTGAATATAGTTAGGTTTTCACCTTGACTTACAAAACTGTGGGTCAAAGTTCACAATTATTGATTGTAAAGGTTCCTGTAGGAAATATGACGTCCTGTCAAGTATGGTAATGGTGTACACTGATGCATAGAGCACCTTTACCGTAAGGTTTGATGAGAACTGAATTTAAGGGACACTTATACTTTTTGTCAACAATATGGGACAATGAATATTTTTGTGTCATTTACAAATTCCTGTGGACTAAATGCACATTTCTGAGTGGTGTAAAACCCTGATAAAGGCAGATGTATGCATTGCCTTTTAGGCCTAAAAAAGAAAATGTTGTGGTTCCGATTACCTGACCAACCCTTGAATTCTGGTGCAGATCCTATTTTTTAAAGCGGTATGAATAAAATGAGCTTTCAGAAACCACTGATTTCTTTCCCAGCACCGATGGTCATCGGTCATTTGGCTTGATTGAATAAATGTGTCATTAGTTTGTACTTTACTTCTCAAAAAAAATGTAAAAAATTAAATATCCGACCTACCTACACTAAATTTTAAAGAGGTGTAATTGGAACTACAACATTTTTTTAAATTTGGCCTTATTGTGTTGTCAGTCTCAGGGATAGGCTATCTTCAAAAGCAGTACCTGTATCTACACTGAATTAATCTGTCAGTCCATCAGTATTAGTCACCTGAAACTCTAATCAAACCACAAAGCACCCATTAAACCCAGGAAGACCTAATCCCAACAATTACCATGAGAGTTAAACCCATTAAAGCCTCAAGCAGCATCAGCAGATGTCACTGCAATGGTCAGATTCACAGTAATGGCCCTTAACTGCTCTTGAAGACAACTTGAAGGCCGACATGTAAGTAATCCATGCATGTATGTAAATGGCCATTATCATCTGTTGAAAGAACTGACCAGTATCCCCTTGAACCTTGTTTAGTCTTCATCCAGACTTGATTGATGCCATCTGTACATCTCTGTTCCAACAGTGACTTCATGGCTGAAATATCTCCCTAAATACCTGGAGGAGACATTACTTTGTTTTGTTTGTAAAACAGGCATAAACTATGAAAACTGGAACCAGATGGCAGGAGTTCAAGTCAGAGCTTCAGCAGACGCAGGGAGCACCTTGAGGTGATCCTGAACATGTTGCCAGATGAGAGCAGAATGTGTGTGCGTGTGTAGTGATGAGTATTAGCCAGACTTTTGTATTGCAATGAATAACAATAATGATTCATAAACTGCAATACATACCATGGTATATTGCATGCATTCAATCACAAGTACTTTGTGAAGATTCTGAATAAATATAACCCACATTTATAGCAACCTCAAAGTCGTTTGCTATTTTGTTGGATGCTGTATTGACACATTATATGGTTGCCAATAGTTTCATCTTTATGAAGACAGTTCTACTGCTTTTTGATTATATAAACTTTACCAAGAAGGTGAAAATATGCATGCCTTTGATAAACATAATATACCATTAATTTCTATGCATCCGAAATGGTGGAATGCGAGTAATATTGCACACCTGTAAGTCTCTAATGGATGTGTATGCATGCATGCCCTGGAGGAACAGGTGGATGTGCAGCCAGATAAGCAGACGCATCACTAAGGATAATACGATCTTGCAATGTCCCAGTCAAGCTGTAGAAGCCAACAAAACCTCAGAATTGGAATTACTAAGACTGTCCAAAGCACCAAGGCTCAAAATCAAATTACTTCCTTAGCATATGTTCTTGCAGCTGTTCTAAATCACTAGGTCCACTTGCATTTGGAAACTTCAAAAGTCCCAAGTTAGTACAAAGTAGGGTCACTTCACTTCAGGGTCAAGTGAGGTGACCAGGTCTCCACAAACCCCTGGTGACCTGCACAACCATTGCTTTGTTCCTCCTCTTACCCAATGTTCTTGTAAGTG